TCATGGTTGGACTAGCTGAACTACAGTCTATAAGTCATTTTAGTAAATACTAATAATATAATACATACAAATAATATGTGATATATGTGTATCCTATATATACATATATATATATATATATATATATTGAAGAGATCAAGGAAAATGAATTTGAGTCAGTGCTGTTTGTAAATCTTGTACATCTCTTCACCAGAGATGGAAAGCCTGATGCAATCAAAAGACCTTTAAATAAGGAAGAAAACTACAGAGTAAACATCAAAATTCAGAGTCTGAAAGATACAAACAAAGAAACTGGTGTTTACTATCAAAGATGAAACAGAGAGAGAGAGAGAGAGAGAGAGAGAGACAGAGAGAGAGAGAGACAGAGAGAGAGAGAGACAACGAATGTATTTTCTTTATTACCTGGTAAGTACTGACAGAGACTGTGAAGAAGGCATGACCCAGGGCAAATAAGCAGGGTCTTGTCTTCAGTATTTTGAAGGAGACTAACTAAAGCTCTTTTATAAATGCATGTATTACTTTTGGAACTCAAAGCCAATTCAATAAAGAAGAGAGAGACAATATGCCTCTAAAAGTAAATCTACTGCTCTACTGAGTTAACATATTTTACAGTGAGCTACATGAAGACACGCCAAGGCATGACTTCACTTTGCCCGGATAAACAATGGTAATTAAGTTAGACAACATAAGAAAGAAGGGATTGAGGTGAGATAGGGAGGGATTTCGAATAGTTTTCTGGTTTTGGTGTGTGGGAATAAACAGCAGATTTTAGAAAAAGTGGAGCATATAATTTGCAAATGGAAAAGGAAGATAAATCATCTGAAACATTGGGTTTGTTGTGAGTAGAGAGCCATCATACTTTTAGAAACATTTCCTGAGGCAGCAATCTAGCAGTACTGCAGAGATGAATGTGCAGGGGGATTCATCTCTGTTTTGTTAATCAAAGCAATGGAAAGAAACTAAATGTTCATCGATACTGGATACATTATACAAAGGGTGGTGATTCATGACCCAAGACACTCTGCTGCCCGTGAAAAATTCAATGCATATTTGTGTATTGCACTGACTTGGAAAGATGCCAAAAGCATATTTTTGACTAGAAAAGCAGCAGAATACTCTTCCCTATAATTTAAAATAAATTCTGTGTTCAAAAGAGGAAAGAAAATAGACATAGAGCTCAAGTTTTTTCCAGGAAGAGAAAGCAATAGATTTTGGAGGAAAAGTACCCAGGTACAATGAGCCAAATAGCTTGAAATCCATCATTGATAACTTGAGGGCTTTGCAGGGAGTTCTGTGTTTGACAGTTGATAGTTATGTATACACACGGATGCTCATGTTTTTCTTGTGCTGGTGTATATTTAGTTATGCTACCTGGACACACTTCAAATGTTGAAGTTTGAATCCTAATTGTAGTGATATTGGTGGTAGGGTCTTTGAGTATGACTTATTCTAGATGAGGTCATGAAGTTGGGCCCTCATGACAGAACCTCTATCCTTGTAAGAACAGGTACTTAATTTCCGGCCTCTCTGCCATGCAGTGTGTGCATGACAATCTAGGAGAAAGCAACCTCCTAAAAAGAAGGCTAAGAGAAGGAAATGTAATGGTGATAGAATATGAACCAAGTCAGGTTCCTTTTTCATCTCTGAATTCTCAGCTCCAAAGCCAGCTGAAATAAAACCTTGCTGCTTCAACCCTCACTTCTGGCATTTTATTATGGTATAACAAGCTGAGTAGGACATGTAAACTCCTTGTTCGTGACAACATACTGTGGTATGGATGTGAAATGTGTTTGAGATTCGTGTGTTTTGATGCTTGGTCCATGGGTGGTGATGCTACTTGGAAGGTCAAGGAAGCTCTAGAAAACAGGGCCTGACTGGAGGAAGTCTGCTGCCAAGAAGAAGGCTTTAAGGGTTGTCATATTCTAGCCTAATTTCTATTCCCATCATCTCAGAAACATAATATTCTCATGTGTTCTCCACCATAACTGACTAGAACTCTTCAAACCATGATGCAAAATAAAATCTTCCTTTCTTTAGGGGCTTCTTGTCAGTAATGTGGTGACAGCAACAAGAAAAATAACCAATACTTCACATAAAAATTACCCCCAGGATTGTAAGATAATAAGCCATTAAATCATTTTTTGTATGTCAGTGACTCAGAAAGAGATGAACTTGGAGGTTCTAGCTCAAGATGGCTTTCTGTTTGGGTCACGGTCAGCATTGTCAAGGCCTCATCTCTGGTATCACTCTGATCAATAGCTCTCCCCAAGGCACAGTTCTGTCTGTTCTTTCTACCTTTTAGTCTCATTTCATATTTTCTAATTCTGTGAAACACTCTGCTTACAATACTACAAAAGCTGAAACACGTTTCAGTTGATTTGAGATATGTACTAACGGTATAGATTGATAGTTTCACATGCGCACACACACACACTGAAATAATTGTCATAGTCAAGATAATGCGTATGGCTATTACTTCACATATTGAATATTTTCTATTCTCCTTTCCCTTTAATTTTGATTTTTTCCTTATTCTTTCATTTGATGACATAATACATTGAATTTTCTCTTTGGTGAAATTTCGAGCATAAAATCATACCTGTTTTTGACTATCTCAACATTCTCCTGTGCCTTTAGCTCTCAGCAACCACTATTCTACTCTGCTTATCAAGGGCACAACTGTTTGATTATGTTTGCAAAATGAGATCATGTGTTTTCTATGTCTTGTTTATCTTAGTTCAATGTCTACTGTGTTCATTTATTACGGAAATAGCATTATCTCTACAAATACTACACATGTTCCTGCCTTTAAGTTTATTTTTATAAGACTGTGTATTCCCTGATGCTAAACATTAATGGATTGTGGAATCTTTCCAGTTTATATTACATTTAGAATATTTTTTATAATTATCTCCCTTTTGTTCTTGTTTTTACTGCAGTATCTCCTTATCCTGTGCTGCCTTCAGACTCACTCTGTAACTGAGGGTGACTTTGAGTTCTTGCCTCCACTTCTGCAATACTAGGTTTTGGATGTCTGATGCTATGCGTTACTAACTCAGAGATTTGATGTTTCCTTTTCCTTTACTTCCAATTAATTTCTGTCACTATTCTCAATACCAGCCTTTCTACAGTTTACAGCTAGTGCTGACGCCTAAGCTCTTCAGGCACACTCTTTCCTTGGCTTGTTGTTAATCAATAAAGCTGCCTTTATTCCTTTACTTGTTTTTAATGATTATGAATTTTTTTATATTTGACAATTTCCAATTGTGAGATTTGTTTACCATTGTAATCACTAAAAAATAAACAGTGTCAGTACTTGAGAAAGACTACTTAACATTGGGCATGTAGCTCAACATGTAGAACCTCAGTACAGCATGAACAGGGTGTGGTGGTACATCTCTGTAATCTCGGCACTCAGGAGGCACAGGTCGGCAGATCAGAACTTTAAAATTATCCTTCGCTACATAGTTTGCAGCTAGTCTGAGCTAAATTAGACTCTATTTCATAAAGAAATACACTTGAGGATACATAATATAGTTATCAAGGTAATCACCACATAAACTTTCTTGCCTATTACAGAAACAACAAACCAAAAGAAAGCATAAAGACTCTACCATGAAGGAATCTTTATTGTTTATAAAAGCAGATTGCTAACATGTAAGAACCCTACAGACACACAGCAGTCTATATATACAACCATAAATATCAGTGAACTAAACTGACTTATAACAAAAAATTTTATTTCATAATGTAATGAAGTTCACTTATACAAAAATTGTAGAAGTGAAAACATATGCATGACTGCTTGATTTATACCATTGTGTTATATTTGCATATATGAATAATATCCCTGCTAAAGTAGATTTAGCTCCTATAAAAATTATCTTAACAATGTAGCTTCTAGTATATTGTTTGGCTCATTAGAAATTGCAGGAAAATGATAAAGCATCAAATAAAATAAATTCAAATATCTATAAGGACATGATGACATCAACAAACCAAAGGCTGAAAATGAGAGAGAAAGAAAGGTGGGGAAGGGAGGGAGACAGAGAGACAAAGAAAGAGGGGGTGGTTAAACATAGAAGGCAAAAAACTGATTTACCATCCAGGTATCTTTAGGAAAAGCAAGGAAACAATTCTAAGATCCTTGAATTAAGCTTGGGGCACTAAGCAGGGGCAAATTGTCTTCTGGTTGATGTGCACATTTGTAAGCCAAGCAAAGGAAGTAGAGGGAGTGGATGTGATGAGATTTCTTTATAAGTATGTATTGGTAATGTCATAATGAAACTCCTTCCTTAATACAATTAGTGTAGTATAAAAATGGAAACTAGGTGTTGAACAGAGGTTAAGAACACTGGCTATTCTTCCAGAGGACCTAGGTTTGATTCCCAGAACCAACAGGAAAGCTTATATCAATCTATACCTTCAGTCCCATGAGATATGAAGCCCTCTTCTGGATTTCATAAAATCAAGCAGAAATGTGGTGCATAGATATACATACAAACAAAATGCACACACATGCAAAATTATCTTTTTATATACTAATTTTATTTAACTTTTTACATATATTACTTCCAGTTCCCTCTCCCTCTCCTCCTCCCCCTGACTCCCCAATACCCCAACTCCCACCTCACTCTATCTCTCCTCCACTCCCCCGGGAGGGTAAGTCCTTCCATGAGGGATTTTCAGAGTCTGTCATATCATCCAAGTCAGGGCCTTGGTCCTCCCCCATGTGTCCAAGCTGACAGAGCATCTGTCCATGTGGAATGGGCTCCCATTTGTATGCCAGGGATAAATATGTATCTACTCTCCATGATTCTGTAGATTGCTGAGGTCTGGGGCTGGGGGAGTACAGGTGGGTCCCATGCTGGCCTCTCAGTGATCAGTCTGAGGACCATGAATTCATCCTTGTTTAGTTCAGCTGTGTCTGTGGGTTTCGCCAGCCGGGTCTTGGTTCCTTTGCTCATCACTCCTCTTTGCAAATGGGTTCCAGGAGTTCAGTTCAGTTTTAGGAGTGTCTGTCTCTGCTTCCATCAGTCGCTGGATAGTATATAAGGTAATCAGCAATCTCATTATCAGGGGAGAGCATTTATGGTAGCCCTAATGCCATTTGGTGTCATTCTTGTAGATTTCTGAAAATCTCACAAAAAATTATCTTTTTGAAATTACTAAAAAAGCAAATTACATTTTAAATAAGTAAGACTAGGCTAAATAAACTAATATCCATTTGTTGGGATTCAAGAAAAACAAATGATTGATAGTAGGAATGAAACATAATTATTAAAATAACACTAAAGCAAATTAAACATGTCAACTGAAATAAGGTGTGTTGACTACATGCCAACATGTGGAAACTGGGAAGTTCTTCAAATTGGGAATTGGCAGAACTGTCCAAAGACAAAAAAGTAGGAGTTGCAATGTTCAAAGAAAAAGCTTGAAGAAAAGCTATTAAGTATGAGGAGACAAATGTAAAATATTTAGAGCAGTATTTCTCATCCAGCAAAAAACACCAGCAAGTTAACGTGTCAAATATTTACAGCAACAAATATGAATGAGATACTAGCAAAGTGCAATCACAAGTTTATATAGGATAGTATTGAACTAATGGAACACAGAGGACCACAAATGACATAACTTCATTCTAATAAATAAAAATAAACAATAAAAGCAAAAGATATATTAATTAGTGAGACATACAATGATTTTTAACTTGCTCTTTTTATTAAATTTAGGTTACTTAATGATAAGGTATATATACTACATAGACACAAAAACACATAAGAAAATCTGTTCAGTGTTATACTTCAAAAAATCCTTCATCTCTAACATATGCTAATTTTAAATATTAGACAGAGGTCCAGTTTAAAAACTCATAAACACTGGGTGATTGTGGCACATGCCTTTAATTCCCCTGTGTGGGAAGTAGAGGCACACGGAATTCTGTGTTCAGGTTCAGCCTGACTACAAAGTCAGTTCCATGTCAGCCAAGGTTACAAAGAGAAACTGTATTTTGAAAAAAAATAACTATTGCTAAGTTTTAAAACTGCTTTAAATGCTTAGGGAAGCTCACTCTAAATAAACACAACCATAACTGATGCAGAACTACCTTTGGCCAGCGATGAGCCTCCCAGCTGATTTAAACCACCCATAACTTAAGAGAAAAGATAAGCTCCATGGTATTTCAATTGGTTCAGAGCTTTTCATGAATCATATGATACTTAATAGTGAATTCCAACACATAAAAGGTAAACAGGGATTTCTCAATTTACTGAATGGATAAATCTCATTTTTTTGGAACCATTAGACTATGCTAGGCCCACTTTTAGGTGGCAGCTAGATTTTAGCAGAAAATAAAAGTAAGCAAAATGACGTTTACTGTTGCAAGAGAACATAGTTAAAAATTAATTAAATGTAAGTGATTTGATATGCAAATAATGATTTCAGCAAGCAGGTCTTAATATAATGTTTTAAATGATATATCATTATTATATTTAAAAATATAAGAATTGATTTAAAATTAAATGTTTAAATAAAGTCAAATTACTAGCTCTCAGAAAAATATAATCCTAACTGTAGAGCTTAACATGGCCTTGGGCAAAAATCACTTTCTATTATTGACTAAAATAGAATAATATAATTATTTTTGGAATATAATTATTCTTAATAGGATAATCATTCTTAGCTTGAAACCACCGCACATAAGGAATATGAAAAGGTAGGCTACCTAAAGCCATAAGTGAATGTCCACTGTGAATTATCCTATTTCTTAACATGAGAAAATATTAGTAGGTGTGAGAAAGCAATGATAAGTACCAAAGTGGATGGCAGGAATTAAAATTACCATGCAATCAGATAAAATGGTCCATGTATGCTAGTGAGATTGTGGAATCCTCATTAAATGAATATGGATAGGAGCAGTAACAAGGACAGTATGCACTTTCTGAGATCTCCATGCCTGGGGACTGTAGACAGGTTGACTCACCACCAGAGGACCAATCAACCAGGAGCCTGCTGAAAGTGCTGGTCTACTTCCCACAGAGGTGAACTGTGGCCCCACCTCAGAACAACTTCCTTCCTCTTGTCCTTTCTGCGACCTCATTGCCTGGGGACTGCAGCCAGGTCAACTTAACTCAGGAGGACCTAGCAACCAGGAGTCTGCTGAGAGTACCAGTATACTCCTGCCCCTACTCAGAGCAGAGGAGAGGGTGTGCCTCAGACCCACCTGCACCCAGCATGAGCCCCATCAGAGTATTGGACCTGCTTGTACCCACCTGAAAAGAACCTTGGACCCACCAGGAAAGGAAGAGACCCAACCTGTACCCACTGGAAGAAGGGATGGGAAGACAACAATACATTCAACAACAGAAAAAAATATGACACCACCAGAGTCTAAGGACTCTACACTAGCAAGACCCAAACATCCCAACACAGATGAAGCAAAATAGAACAATCTTAAAAATAACTTCATGAAGATAATAGAGACCCTAAAAGAAGAAATGAGAAAAATCCTTTTAAAAATGGAAGAAAAGACAAATCAAAAATTGCAAGAAACAATTCAAACACTACAAGGTTTGAAAGCTGAAATATACACAATAAAAAAAACACAGTCTGAAGAAATGCTGGAGTTAGAAAAGGTGAGTAAACAATCAGGAACTACAGATGCAAGCATGGCCAACAGAATGCAAGAGTTGAAAGAGAGAATCACAGCTGTTGAAAATTCACTAGGAGAAATAGATTCATTAACCAAAGAAAATCCCTAACACAAAATGTCTACGAAATATGGGACACCATGAAAAGGCCAAATCTAAGAATAATAGGGATAGAAGAAGGGGAAGAAACCCAACTCGAAGGTGCAGAAAACATGTTCAACAAATCATAGAAGAAAACTTTCTCAACCTAAAGAAAGACAGGCCAATGAAAGAAGCTTCCATAACACCAAATAGGGTAGACCACAAAAAAGTCCCCTTGCTACATAATAATCAAAACCCTAAACATACAGAATAAAGAAAGAGTATTAAGAGCAGCAAAGGAAAAAGGCCAAGTAACATACAAAGTCAGAATCACACCTGACTTCTCCATGGAAATTCTGAAAGACAGAAGGTCCTGGGAAGATGTTCTACAAACACTAATAGACCACAGAGGCCAGCCCAGCAAAGCTTTCAATCACTATACATAGAGAAAACAATGCATTCCATGAGAAAACCAGATTTAATCCATTCATATTCACTAACCTAGCCCTACAGAAAACACTGGAAGGAAAACTCCAACCTAAGGAAGATAACTATGCTCACAAAAACATAGGCAACTTTACCAAAAGCCAAAAGCAAAAGCAGAATAAATCCACAAAAAATAACACCAGCAACAACAAATCAAAAATAAACAAGAATTCAGACTCAATGGTCCATAAGCTCCCTCAATACTAATGGTTTTAATTTGCCTATAAAGAGAAACAGGCTGACCCCTGCTTCCCTCTTCCTGGGCCTACCCTGTGCCTAGAGTGTACCCCCCCCTCCAGAAAGGACCATCCTGAGTCTGGCCACACCTCAGTCTTCAGTCCCCTGTGGCACATGCCCTGTGCTTAACATGATTGGAAGCTGTGTTTCAGGCCCCAACTCCAGACATTCCCCTGCTTCTTTCTTCTTAGGCCTACTCTATACCTAGAGTGGACCCACACCACCAGAAAGGACCACCCTGAATCTGACCGTACCTCAGTCTTCAGTCCCCTCCAGCCCCTACCCTGTGCTTGAGGTGAGTGGGGGCTCTGCTCTAGGCCCCAACTCCCATGATCCCCCTGCTTCCACCATCCTGGGCCTGCTCCATACCCAGAGTGGACCCACCTTGCCATAAAGGACCAACCTGAGGCTGGCCACAACTTAGTCTACAGTCCCCTCAGGTGCCTTCCCTAAGCTTGAGTCTTCAGTCCCCTCCTACTTCCAGCTCTGCCCTGCGCTTAAGAGTGTCTCAGACCCACCTGCACCTATCGTGAGACCCATCAAAGGGTTGGACCTGATTAAAGCACCACAAGAGACCTTTAGACCCAAAAACACCAGGAGAAGCAAAGACCCCATGAGCTTCCACTGAAATAAGGGATGGGAAGATGGCAATATTAAAACACAGTCAGCAACAGAAAAACCAATATGATACCACCAGAGTCTAGAGATTCTACACCAGCAAGACCTGAACATTATAACACAGATGAAACAGAAAAGAATGACCTTCAAAACAACTTCATTAAAATTATAGAGGGCCTCAAAGAAGATACGAGAGAATCACTCAAAGAAATAGAAGAAAAAACAAACGAAAAATGCAAGAAATAAACAAATCTCTAAAAGAAAGCCAAAAAAAAAAAAAAAACAGTCAGTCAGATGAAGTAAACAATTCAAACAGTTCAAGACCTGAAAACTGAAATAGAGGCAATAAAAACACACAAGCTGAGGGAATGCTGGAAACAGAAAAGCTGAGTAAACAATCAGGAACTACAGATGTAAGCATAACCAACACAATAAAAGAGATTGAAGACAGAATCTCAGGCACTGAACATAAACCAGAGAAAAAAGATTTATTGATCAAAAATAATCTTAAATCCAACAAATTCTTAACACAAAATATCCAAGAAATATGGGACACTGGGAAAAGACCAAACATAAGAATAATAGATATAAAACAGGTACAAAAAATTGAAATAATTCCATGTACCTTTTGAGACCACCATGAGTCAAAGCTAGAATACAACAGCAACACAAATTGCAAAAACTCATCAACCTCATGGAAATTGAACAATGAACTATTGTACTATTCCTGAGTTAAGGAAGAAATAAAGAAAGAAATTAAAGACTTCCTAGAATTCAATTCCAATGAAGACACACCATACTCAAACTTACGGATTGCTTTGAAAACAGTAATAAGAAGAAAGATGAAAGTACTAAGTGCTCACGTGAAGAAACTGGAGAATAACCACACCAGAGAATTAATAGCGCAAATGAAAGCTCTAGAACAAAAAGAAGCAAACTCACCACAGAGGAGCAGATGCCAGGAAATAATCAAATTGAGGTCTGAAATGAATAAGTGGAAACAAAGAAAACAATACAAAGATACAAAATGTCAATGTAACAATAGTTCATTCTTCCAGAAAATCAAAAGATAGACAAACCTTTTTCAAAACTGACCAAAAGGCAGAGACCTAACATGCAAATTAACAAAATGAAGAATGAAAAGGGGAATACAACAACAGACATGGAGGAAATTCAGAGAACCTTCAGGTCATACTTTGAAAACCTGTACTTTACTAAATTCGAAAATTTAAAGGAAATGGACAATTTTTCTGGATGGATATCATTTACCAAAATTACATCAAGAACAGTTAAGCAATTTAAACAGACCCATAACTTCTAATGAAATAGAAGTATTCATCAAAAGTCTCCCAACAAAAAAAAGCCCAGGCCCAGATGACTTCAGTGCAGAATTCTGCCAGAAATTGAAAGAAGAGCTAAATTCAAAATTCCTCAAAGTGTTCCACACAATAGAAGCAGAAGGTTCCTTGCCAAACTCGTTTTACGAGGCTACAATTACCTTGATACCCAAGCCACACAAAGACAGAACTAAGAAAGAGAATGACAGATCAATATCCCTTATGAACACTGATGCAAAAATACTCAATAAAATACTAGTAAATCAAATCCAAGAATACATCAGGAAAATAACATACCATGAACAAGTAGGCTTCATCCTAGGGTTGTAGGGATGGCTCAACATAAGAATGCTATCAATGTAAACCCCAATATAAACAAACTGTAAGCCGGGCGTTGGTGGCGCATGCCTTTAATCCCAGCACTCGGGAGGCATAGGCAGGCGGATCTCTGTGAGTTCGAGGCCATCCTGGTCTACAAAGTGAGTTCCAGGACAGCCTCCAAAGCCACAGAGAAACCCTGTCTCGAAAAAGCAAAAAAAAAAATATATATATATATATATACATATATATATATAAACAAACTGTAAAAGAAAAAATGTGATCATCTGACTTGATGCTGAAAAAGCATTTGACAAAATCCAACACCACTTCATCATAAAGGTCGTGGAGAGATATAGGATAACAGGAACATACCTGAACATAATAAAAGCAATATACAGTAAACCAACAGTCAACATCAAATTAAATGAAAAGAAACTCAAAACAATTCCTCTAAAATCAGGAACAAGACAAGGCTGTCCACTCTCTCCATACCTCTTCAATGTTGTACTTGACGTTCTAGATAGAGCAATAAGATAACAAAAGGAGATCAAAGAAATACAAATGGAAAGGAAAAACTCAAACTTTCACTATTTGCAGATGATATGGTAATATACATAAGTGACCTAAAAAATTCTACACAGAAATTCCTACAGCTGATGAACACCTCCAGAAAAGTGGAAGGGTACAAGATCAACTCAAAAAAAATCTGTATCCCTATTATAATACAGACAATAAATGGGCTGAGAAACAAATCAGAGAAATATCACCCTTTACAATAGCCACAAAAAACATAAAATATCTTGGGGGTAGAGCTAACAAGTGAAAGACCTGTTTGAGTCTTTAAAGGAAGTAATTAAGGAACATAACAGAAAATGGAAAGATCTCCCATGCCCTAGGATAGGTAGATCAGCATAATAAAAATGGCAATCTTGCCAAAAGCAAACTACAGACTCAATGCAATCAAAATACAGTCACAATTCTTCACAGACCTTGACAGAACAATAATCAACTTTATATGGAAAAACAAAAGACCCAGAATAGCCAAAATAAACCTGTACAATAAAGGAACTTCTGAAGGCATCACCATTCCTGATTTTAAGCTCTATTATAGAGCTATAGTCTGGAAGACAACTTGGTTTGGACACAGTCAACAAGATAAAAAGGCAGCCCACAGAATGGGAAAGGATATTTGGTTACTCCACATCTGACAGAGGACTGATCTCCAAAATTTACAAAGATATCAAGAAGTCTCCAAAACACCAAAAGATTCAATAAAATTGGGGTACAGAACTGAATAGTGAATTCCAAATAAAAGAGTCTAAAATAGCTGAGAGACATTTAAGAAAGTGCTCAACATCTTTAGCCATTAGGGGATTGCAAATCAAAACAACTCAGATACCATCTCACTCCTGTCAGAATGGCTAAAATCAAAAACACCAGAGACAGTTTAATCTGGAAACGATGTGGAGAAAAGGTAACACTTCACTGCTGGTGGGTGTGTAAACTCATACAGCCACCTTGCAAATCTGCATGGAGATTCCTCATGAAAATGGGAACCAGTTTAACACAATATCCAGCAATTCCACTCTTAGGCATATACCCAAATGATGTGCATTCATACAACAAGGACATCGGTTCCACTATGTTCATAGCAGCCTTATTTTTAATAGCCAGAACCTGGAAGCAACATAGATGCCCCTCAACTGAAGAGTAGATATAGAAAATGTGGTACATTCACACAATGAAGCACTACTCAGCAGAAAAAAACAATGGAATCTTGAAATTTGCAGACAAATGGATGGCACTAGAAGAAACTATTCTGAGTGAGGTTATCCAGCCACAAAAAAAACAAATATTGCATGTACTCTCTCATATATGGATTTTAGACATGAGTCAGGGGAGTGCCAACCTACAATCCAGACCACCAGAGAGTCTGGAAAACAGAGAGTACCCTAAGAGAGATGTGCATGGTACCCCAGAGAAGGGGAGTGGCACAGGATCTGCTGAGTAGACTGAGAGCACAGGGGCAAGGGACAGGGAGCTAGTGTAAAGTGAGGGGAGAAGCGAAGGGGAGAGGAGGACATGATGAAACAGAAAAGTTGAGTCATGGAAAGAATAAAGGAGAGCAGGAAGAGAGATACCAAAACAGAGGGAGTCATTATAAGTTTGAGAGATATCTGATACTAATGAGATTTCCAGATAACTACAAGGATGACACCAACTGCAAATCTAAGAAATAGTGGAGAGGCTACCTTAAATGCCCTTCCTGGATAGTGAGATTGATGACTACCTTGTATGCCATACTTGAGCCTTCATCCAGTGACTAATGGAAGCAGAGTCAGGCACCCACAGCTAAACATAGAACTGAAATTCTGGAAAGCAGTTGCAGAGAGGGAGGAGTGATGAGTAAAAGGGTCATGACCAGGCAGGTGAAACCTTCAGAAACACCTGACCTGAACAAGGAGGAGCTCATGGACCCCATACTGATAGCTGAGAGGCCAGCATGGGACTGATTCAGAGCCCCTGAAAATGGGTGTCAGTCAGAAGGCCTAGGCAAGCTTTGGGGCCTCGGGTACTAGATCAGTATTCATCCCTGTCATCTGAATGGTCTTTGGAAGCCCATTTCATATGGAGAGATAATCTCTCAGCCTGGACACATGGGGGAATGCCTAGGCCCTGCCCAGGATTATTTGACAGACTTTTGAGATCTCCCATGAAGGGCCTCAACCTCATAGGAGAGTTGATTGGGGATTGGATGTGGGGTTGTTGGGTTGTTGGGGGTGGCAGGGGTGGAGGGGAAGGAATAGGAGCTGGGATTAACATGTGATGCAAGCTTGTTTCTAATTTAAATAAAAACAAATAAAAAAAAAACAAGGAGAGTATTGATGAAAAAGATGAGTATTATTTAGAGCAGTTAAGCTGTCCAGATAAACAAAATATCGATTATGATTCTATTTAGAGCCTTCTCATTTGACTTAATGATCATTATGAACTTTTCTTCTTTCATTTTAATGAAAAACAAATTGACTTTATATACCTTTGAAGGTATAAATAGACAGTAGTAAAAATGATTGCCAACTACCTTTGGAAGTTTTTAAACTGTTACCAAAGCCAAGTTAATTAAACTCAGTAAGATTTATAAAATGAGGTATATACATAGAACAATTTATCCAGGATATAAACAAGGTCTAATACAACTGAAATGTCGACTCATGCAAACAACTTATCACTTGAAAAGAAGTTTAAATTTTATTTATATATATACCTGTAGATTTGTTTCATTTTATGAACATTTTCTCTGCCTTCATGCATGTATCATGTGTGGTCCAGGTGCCCATGGAATCCAAAGGAGAGTTTCAGATCCTCCGGAACTTGAGTTATAGATTAGATATCAATCCAGAACTCTGAACAGAAATTTTAGAAAATTACATCTCCAAAATTCAAATGAACAAAGAAAAATCATTCCAATTGAATTGGAAACTTCAATGGAAAAAAGCCGCCTAAAGTGATCAAAGAAAAAAAAAACCTAGAAAAATTACCATTTATTGAAAGAGACAACTAGAGCCACTGTGGGCTTAGGTAGAAATCTGGTGGAAGGGAAATTCCCAAGAATTCACAAAGATGACCCCAGCTAAGACTCCTAGTAATAGTGAAGAGGATGCCTGAACTGGCCTTCCTCTGTCATCAGACTGGTGACTGTCCTAGTTGTCATCATAGAGCTTTCATCCAGTAACTGATAGAACCAGATGCAGAGATCTGCAACCAAGCACCATGCCAAACTCTGGGAATTCAGTCGAAAAGAGGGAGGAGGGAATATATGAACAAGGGAAGTCAAGATCAAGATGGAAAAGTCTACAACCAAAGTTGTGATAACTCATGAACTCTGAGCCGGTAGTTATGGAGCATCCAGGAGACTGAACTAGACCTTCCATAGCATGTTGGAGACAGTTGTGTAGCTTGGTCTATCTGAGGGGCCCATGGCAGCAGAACCCCTGAGTAGCCCTGGTGAATGAGCTAGCTTGTTGGAGCCCCTTCCCCGTGAGGGGATGCCATATTCAGCGTTAACACAGTGAGGAGGGGCTTGGTCCTCCCTAGGTAATCCATTGAGCCTTGGGCAGTAGATCAGTATACACATGGTCTTTGGACTCCCATCCAACAATGTGAGATGCACTCTCACCCTGAACTCTTGAGGGAGGGTCTAGGCCCTGCCCTGGATGAAATGACAAACTATGGACACCCCCATGGAGGGCCTCACCCTCCCTGGGGAAATGAGGGGATAATGGGGGGATAGGGGGGAGTGTATGGGAGGAGGGTAGGGAAAGGGAGAGGGACCTGGAACTGACTTATGAAGCAACCTTGTTTCTAAACTAAATTTAAACTTAAAAATAAATTAAAAAATGAGCTAAACCCATTAGCTTGGTTCCCGCATGCCAACACCATGGCAGATGGCTGGAGAAAGACCTTGAGAACCCACAAGGCTAAGATCTTAAAGGGGAGTGTCTAGGTGTATGAAACAGTCTCAGGATTGGTGTGCTTCCAAGTTTAGATGACCTTCCCTGTGCTGATTGGTCAACTGGTTGTTATGGCCCATAGGCCCTCCCAGGTTGGTTGCTATCTCTGTGTGTCACTGTTGTGCACTTGTCCATAAAGAACACTCAGAGCTGTAAAGCACAGTCCCAACAGCTAACTTCTGATTGCTTCCTTGCCACGAGGAGGGCATCTGACCTCCTAGTGAACTGGACAGGAGCTACAAGGTCATGTAAGCACATTAGCCTGTTATGGCCCCTGAAATGGGGGACTGGTCATTACAGCTTAGGGTGTCATGTTGGTCAGAGTTTATGGCTGTAGCTTCTAATGTTTCTTATTAGGATTTACAACATCACAGCAAAGTTCATGTTTCTTTGACTCTTAAAGTCTCTATACCCCCTGTTCCCCACTGTCCCATGGGTTTTGATATTCTTTTTTTTTTGTTTGTTTTTTCCTGAAACAGGGTTTCTCTGTGGCTTTGGAGGCTTTGTTATTTTTTATACAACAAACATTTCAATAATTAATGCAACCTTGTTGACCAGGTTGCTCTACTCACAAACATCTGTCTGCTTCTGCTTCCCAAGTGCTGTTTGTTTTGTTTTTGTTTTGGTTTGTTTTTTGTTGTTGTTGTTTTTCTATAATGGTCTGTGTTTATTGCAAAGAGATATTTCCTTGACGAGAGGTAAAGATTACATTTATCTATTATTATTGCACGTATGTCTGTGTACTGTGTTTTGTGTGTGTGTGTGCTTGTGCGTGCATGCACGCAGAGGTCTAGAGTTGGCATTTTTTTGTATTCTTCTATGGTTTCTCACTTAATATTTTGAGAAAGTATGTGTCATAAACCTAGGTTTCCCTATAAGATTGGGTGGCTAGTGAGTTCCTTTCTCTGCCTCTAAGAAATGGCTTCCCAGCAGCATATAAAAATACCTGGCTTCTTTTGTATGTGCACTGTCCTTGTGCTAGCAGAGTAAGTGCCTTTTTCACAGATCCTTTGATATTATCTGTTAGTTAAAATTGAAAACAATTAAAATTCTAGGTTCATTTATAAACAATGTAAGTGGAAAATAAGGTTTCACTGAGATGCTGATGTTATCATCTCATTGGAGATCAAAAAGTTAAGTGGCTCAGTTTATTGATCACTGTGTAGGAAGTAAACATTCTTGCCAGTATCTTTAAGGATGGAAATTGGTACAAATCTTCAGAGAGAAAAAATGGCAATTATATTAAATTAACTCATGGAGAATCATTTTGAGGCAATACTTTCAGTATAAACGTTGATTCTGCACATATGCTCTGATTAACCATCAGATACACATAGCTTTTAATGTAACTTTACATTAATTAGCCAAAAAAAAACACTGAGAATTCCCTGGAAGCTTGTAAGTTGATTATATCTGATAAACCACAGTGGATATATACAGCACAATACTAGGAATATAAGGCACTCCTACACTCTAAATAAAGACCACCTCTATCTTTTACTTAGTCCTAGTTCAAGCTAAAAAAGAACAGCCAATGCATGGCCCCATACATTTGTTGTTACATACTCATTTATAGTTTTGATTTCCCAACACATGAGGCTATATTAACTTGAAATAAGATCAGTACCCATCCCAAGTATACACACAGACTTTGGACTCCCATAGAACAATGTGAGGTGCACTCTCATCCTGAACTCTTGGGGAAGGGTCTAGGCCCTGCCCTATATGAAATGACAGACTATGGACACCCCCATGGAGGTCCTCACCCTCCCTGGGGGAATGAGGGGATAACGGGGGGGGTGGGGGGATGGCACGGGAGGAGAGGAGGGAATGGGAGCGGGACCTGGATCTGACTTGTGAAGCAACCTCGTTTCTTATCTAAATTTAAACTGGAAAAAAAGAAAGTTATTTGAATGCATGTTAAACATTAATGTAATTTTTGAAAGGTTATATCTGATTTTTTTTTACCAAAATAAATCTGGAGGAAAAAAATACTTTATTTTCTCCATGGAGGAGACACAATAGAGATTTAAGGTGAACATAACACATTGGATAGATATGGGGTTTAATTATCACTGGTATAGAAATATCGAAATATTTGGAACATACCCATTAAAACTACTTGAATAATTATAGCAATGTTGTTAAAATGGTGGACCACTTTCTCTTCATTTATTAGAAGAAAATCATGTCATGATACTTTCCTTAATTAAGACATTCTAGCTATTTTACACTTACTGTAGTTTTAACTTTACTTCCTGTGGGTCTTTTAATTTATTCTGACTGCTTAATTGCTTATGCAATAATTTTAAATACAGGTTGGTGTTTTGTATAGTATGTAATTAAATTGTATAAATTGTAAACTGAATTTTATGTGGCCAAAATTACTATACTCACTACATACCCTATTTTATATTTTGCCAATATATAGTTTACAAACAAACGTTAAAATATTTTATTCAGGTGGAATTTGCCAACCATTTGTTTTTATCTGACAAAACTGTAATGCCTTGAAATATGTAAGTAATAAAATAAAAAAACATGAAAAAAATTACAATTACATTTTTTACAATAAAAATTACAAATAATTTTTACTAAAAAAAAGAGAGCAAAAATGATATTAATTTCTGTGGGTGGTGAGCTGGGGAGAATCTAGGAATAGTTTGGGGGTGGGGAATTCATAATCAGTATATTGTATGAAAAACTATTCTCAATAAAATCATGCATATACAAAAATATAAAAAAAAGATAAACTGAAATGAAAAATCCAGTTATCTTCATGGTAAGCAACATTTTAATAATTAACAAGCCTCAAAGAATATGAACAATATAGCTTAGATGGTAGTTCCAATGTCCAGGAGCATGTCAAACCCATACATAGGTCTCTTTGAGACATTAACTACAGAATGTTTTTTGTGAGGCAGCAAAGCACTATGGAAATCCTGAGGCTCATGCCACCTTTTCCTTCTGCTTTTATGCTACTGAATAACTCCTCAACCGAAGGAGAAGCTGGTTATTTAATAACTGTTATTTTTCAAGGAATACCCAGCAAACTAAAATGACTTTTTAATAAGATTGTCCTTGTTGGCAGAAAATTATGTATTTAGGGGATTTTTGCAGAGTACAAATTTACTGTGCCTGGTTAAGCAGAACGGTACTTATGATATGCATTCGCTGTATGGAAAATATACATTTTCACAAATGACTGTTTACAAGGCCAGGATTGAAAATGAATCTTAGTTGCATATTATTCATTATAGAGTTATTCTCTCCCATGGCCCACAAATCTGGCAATGGGGAAAAAATAACTGCTGTAACCGAATCTACATACAATTAGAAGTTGGCGAAATGAAGGGTTTTTCTTCCTGAAAAACACATTTTCTCCTGCCAAATGCAGTGTGAATAATTAAAGGAAGGTGGCTTGAGGGAGTTTATTTTGTTATTTTTTATACAACAACATTTCAATAATTAATGCAAAGGACTTGCATACACAAATATCACACACACACACACACAAACACGTGTGAAAAGAGCAATAACTCCTTTAAGAATAAGATAGCATGTGGAGGCTGGCTATACTATGTGAAAGATCAGAAGAACTTTGACAATTATTTTACTAATTGACAGGACAGCTTTTTCTTATCTTTGGGGAAATGATAAAGTACAATGGAGTAAAAGACTTTGGCCTTCAGTGTTTTTGAGATCAAGATAGAAGCCCTACTGAGGTCATTAACATACCCTTAGACTAGAAGACATATGCTTTGTTGATGATGTCTGTGGGAGTAGAAATATGAAAGAGGATCACATAGGATAGTTCCTACAGCAGACACTCCTGGAGGAGGGTGACACCTGACCTTGATCATACCATAATGTTGCTCAGACTGTCCCCTTAATACATGGCTGATTTGACTTTACATGAGTTACTGGGAAGAAGGAGAAAATGAAGATCTTCAGGATCCAACATTTTCTGAAATATCCTTAGACTATTGAAAGAAAAAAAAAGAAACTTAAAACAGGAAAATTTTAAAGTACTTTTTGAAATCATTGGGCTTGGTGTTCTTGGGAATTCTTACCTATGTGTTTATTATCATTGATTATTGTTAACTTTTGAGCAATAACCAGCAGATCTAATTTCACAGGCAAACTCATTGTCTATAGAGTAGCTCATTGTCTACAAAATTAAATCAACATGTACCTAAGAGTTTTTGAGAATCTATATTCTGCCAGATCTTTCAGATGATAAATGAGGGCTTTGAATTCTCAGAAAATCAAAGTATATCCTCATACTTGTGTGTCCTGTAACAGAGAGGCAGTATTGCAGGAGATTTGTTTGCATTGTCACTCCAAGAAGACCAATAAAGTTAAATCTTGAATTAGAGGGTAGAGTACAAGTTCAGCTGTCCAGAATAAACCATAAAGTTTTTGGGTGAATCCATATTAGAATAGAGAGACACAGGGAGAAATAGGGAGTGGCTCAGAAAGATTCACGAGCTTTTCTCCTATTGTATCTGTGTTTGTAGCTACATCTATAATCATGAAAGCTCTATAGTCCTTTCTCAGTGCAATTTTCTACTATACTTTAATATTCAGGTCTTATCTAGAATTGCCAAATAAATACATTTTGTGAAAATTCCTCACTCAAACAGATCTAAAATTGACAAAATGAAAATAATCAAACAACACACTCACCTAAATTCTAAGAGTGTCAAGAAAAAGGATGTACACTCATGAATCAACTCTAGTTTCTTAGTTTAAATGGAATGGAATATGGATGCCTCAAAGTGTATAACATGCTAGGAAGCATTCAGCTGGTCTTTCTGTAACACAAAAAATAAAAGACCCAGAGACTGATATTGGAGTTTAAGCTTCAGTCTGAATATCATAAAAGCAAAGCACCTGACCACTAACTACTTACCTCTACTTCAGACAATCGGCTGGTCCTGTCTCCACTAGTTCACACCAAGCCTCAGCCTGTAGCCTTACCTCAGTGTGGCTGGAGAATGAATGCCACTACTGAGATGTTTCTTCTGTTTTACATACTTCCCTAATGTTGGAATTAAATGGGAGACCTATAATTTTCTATTAGATCTATTCACTCTCGAGTAGTTCTGGGTAGCCTTGGAATCAGAGATCCATCTATCTCTTAATCCTGAGTCCAAGGATTAAAGGGTGTACCACCACCTCCTAATTTCTGGTTGTTGAGATTACAGGTGTGTGCTTGGCTTCTATGGCTTCTGGCTGACTTTCCTTTCTGAATCCTCAGGCAAGCTTTAATACATCATAAACAATATATCCCTTCTTACATCCCCCATCACTCTAATGCAATTCATTTCCTCTGCAACACAGATGGGATTCAATGAAGGCTATCCCCTAATTTTTGACAAGTAAGGGAGAATTTTCTTGCTACAGCAAGACAGACATGTGGGAGATTACAATCGTCCTGAGAAGCATTTAAATCAAATTTACTTAAGCTTCCAAATGCTGTGGGTGGTGTGTGCTCTGTATAAACAGTAAATGAAGGCCATTAGAGGAAAGCTTATTTCTGCAATGGTCATCAGTCTGTGTAGATATTTAAAACCAGTCAAAGTGCTGAGAAAATTTCTGTTGTGTGCTCAGACATACATGAGAATTTTACATCAATAACAATCATCACCATTGCCCAAAAGCTCAAACAACATTACCAAAGCATAAGTATAAGAATATAAGAAGCAGAAAATGGGGGAAAGTGTTGTGAAGTGCTGCCTTTTGAACATGTCTGAGCAACTGTAGTTATCTGCATAAGATCAAGGCAGACAGTATTCCATCATGGACAGGAGATGGACTCGTGAGGCTTCACTCTTAGCTAAGGAAATATTGGCAATTGGTGGCTTCTGGCAGAGAAGTAGCTTTTATTTTGTTTTCAATATGGCTGCTGAGCATTTCCCAAGATGCATTGCATGACCCAATATGCATGAACATGCTGCCAGCATTATTTGGACTCAGTGGGTTATCTTTTTAAAAAGACAAGGCATGATATTGGGAAGTTCAGTGGTAGGAGTTAGTGGGGGCATTTGAATTAAATGTGATTGAGATAAATTGTCTGTATCTGTACAATGTCTATTGGTAAGTAAAGATATTCAAAAACAATAAATAATTAAGACAGCAATAAATATTGAAGAGTGGACATTTAAGAGTTGTCATGAGAAGACTACCAGGACCACTGTTTCAGCTTAAATGATATGATTCATTATCTGAAGTTACTCTCCATCATGGCTGGTTCCAAAAGTAACCTATATAGTGACTGTCAGATGCCTTATTTACTTACTGGCAGCAAATGTTTCATCCAGAAATTTTGCAGACTTAAATGAGACACTAGTGTAGAAGAGACATGTAAATCCAAACTTACACATAAGGAACACTTATTGGTTACTAACACTTACACATTAACATTGGCTCCTAGAAAAGAAATGGGAGATTCTCAGAAGAGAAAACAAGGTATGTCAGGAGCAAGATGACTTTTTGCTACACATTTTCTTTGGGGCAACAGGAATAGGAGTTGTTGGCTTGTGTGAGTCTATTGGAGACTAGAGAATGGTGAGCATGAAGTTGTAGAGGAATGGGAACTTTGAAGTAGTCAACACTTTAATTTTGGAGTAAATACTTTTTCCTGAAGTACATGAACGAGGGAGGTTTTATCTTCAATTTCTGGTTGTAAAACACAGAAATTTCAACTGTTGACTGAGATAAAGTCACCTTGTGGGAACTGGAGTCAGATCCATTTAGCATTTTTCTGACATTTAAACCTAGTTCTGAATATGAATGCGACAAACTCTGTGTCATTATATAATTGATTTAAAGTTTCAGAGTATCCTGGCACATGCTCAAAGAAGACAGAAAAATTTCTTCAAAATAGGAAAGGGATAGTGAATGTGGTCATTGGGCTAGCAAGTGTCAAACTGACTTCTGAACTCAATTCTGATGTGCCTGCAGTATGGCCTTGGGTGTTAGTTATTGGCTGTCTTTATCCCTTTGACTTTTAAAATAGTCAAGATTAGATATTTAACTGAAGTAGCACTGAGAAGACTGAAGAAGAGCACTTGTATATCTGTATTTTGAGGCAGGAATACAAATGACTAATTCAGGTCTTGAGGTGAAAAGATATTCCATTAGTCTAGACCATACCTTCTGCTGCAAGCGTATGTAAGGATATGGAAGAAGTAAGATTTTATGTTTTGCTTACTTGCCTTTGTTTTGCTAGCACATCCATTACACTACTGGCATTAGAGCCTGCTCCTTTGGGATTCCAGAATATATAGAAGACCAGCTAAGATATCCAGTCCTGTGGACTGAGAAACTGCTGTGTAATGGGGCATTTCCATTATAGCTAGCCATTTGGCTTAATCAGACTGCAGCATGTATCTTTACTCTCTGTCTCTGCCTCTCTCTCTCTCTCTCTCTCTCTCTCTCTCTCTCTCTCTCTCTCTCTCTCTCTCTCTCTCTCTCTCTCTCTCTCTTATTCTAGAGACCAGTAATACAATCCTTAAATTTTTTTCACCTCACTAGATGCATTTGTGAACCTCTGACTCTGGACTTGTACAGTAATGTTACAAACCAAACCAAAGCAAAAAATCCTTTTGGGGGCATCATCACTAACATGTCAGCACATACTTCTATTTTGCTATCATTTCTACCAAGTTATCACATTCCCCACCATGAGAAACACCACTCTAAATGAACTACAGAACCCTGTCTTCTTCCTCAGAATACTGACACAAATGAAGGCCAGTTAAGTCTCAAACCTCAGAATGAACTTTTGAAATTCAGTCTGAAATCTCACCTCTTCCTGACTTTGAGCTCATCATCCATTCTAGAAAAACAAGCCTAAAATTCTTCCCAACATGCCGCAGGGCATTGTAATTATTTGGGAGATTCTAATACACATGCAGTTCCTTAGAAAATTCAAGATATTCTGGAAATTAAAATCTATAAAATTCCAGCAAGGAGCCATCAAATTTGAAATTAATTCATTAACATGAGATTAAAACAATAAATAAATAGCAGCTTTGAATTTAAAAACCTATGACAAGATTAAATTCCTGATTTATCAGTTACTAAGGGACCATTGTAAATGTGAACTACAAACTTTATCAAGCTTGCATTGATATATCTGGACTTGAGAGATTCCATTTAAAGGAAGAAATTGGCACTTCATCAACAACTTATTTTCACCCTTTCTTTTGCAAATTTGCTAACTAGAGTTAAATCCAACCTGTGGGTTAATATGACTTTGTTCTGATTAATTTTAAGCTAATTTTGAGGGCTTCTGTTTTAAATGAATTGTTTGAATACTAAATTATGCAGCTTTATGATCCACAAGATAAGCGGCTACTCTAAAGATGCCTCTGAGACTTAAAAGAGACAGCATTAGAAACTCATTATTGCCGGCACATTTAACATGGTTAAAGTAGGGGAAAATAGCCATTAAGTTAATGTAATAGTTAAACTGCATTAATTTGAAAAACTGCCCAGTGAAACGCTTACAACAGATAATGTATTTCCCCACTCATATGGAGATGTTTGTAAAAACATTGAATGTAAATTATGTCAAGATTGTTTTCTCACCTGCTCTCATCACTCTGCAATTTGAAACTGTAGGTTCCAACTGTGGTAGATGATTTACCGAATAGTCCCAGTCTCATTTGTGACCCAGGATCCTGAGCTGGGTAGTCCCTCAGAGAAGGAAGTACAACAACTTATGGCACTAATGGGAGAATTACAGGGGAATAGCCAGCGAATTCTTATTCTGGAATCCAGAGGTTTTATGACATCTTCATGCTCCCTGGTAACTTCCTGAGACTTGAATAATGGGAAGAACCCATCACCCAGATGTCCACAAAAAATGCATCTTTTTGTTTCTTCACTTGGGATACTCATACTTTGGCCAGTGAAATTCTTCCTCCATTAACTCACAGGTTGTTGTATGCTCCTGACTTGTATACTTCCCAGTATTCTTATGTTTTTGTTATTTTCTCTGGTTTTGTTTCTTAAGGAACCACTGAGTTTTTGTTGATGTTTTTGTTTTGATTACTTACTTTGTGTGTGTGTGTGTGTGTGTGTGTTCATGCATATTTGCTGTGTGTTTGCATGTGTATGATGTTTTTATAATTCTTTAATGTGTGGTAGGTAGAAAAGAATGGCAAGTATAAGCAACCAATACCAGTCTTATCACCATCACTGTATTCAGTGACAGTGATGTAAGGTATATTTAAAAATTATTTATGTTTTTCTTAATGACTTTTTAATTTTATTAAAATATCGTTACATTGTTTCTTCAGTAGCCTTTTCTCCCCCCAAACCCTCCTAATTACTCTCAAATTCATGGCTTCTTTTACTTTGATTACTATTTTTGCACACATAAATATATAAAAGCAACAAGCTGAGTCCATTAAGTGTTGCTAAGTGTAAAATTTCCATACTGACATTTGGTAGTATAACTTATATACTATCGAGAGTAGAAGAGTTTCTTTAGACACATGTTTCCATGATTTTTTAAGATGAAGAAATCTATTGTAGATACTTCAAGAAAACATCAACATTAACGCATTACTCAATCTGATTCAGAATTGAATCAGATTAAAGCCCACACTATGATTCTTACATCAAATTCAGATAACATCAGTCATGCTGCATATATAAAATTAGTGGATTTTCTATGCTTCTTTCACTCCTTATGATGATACCATCTGTACCTCTTTCTACTAAGTAAGGTCCAACTTTATGATGCTAAAGCAAGACATATTTGATTCTTTAAAATTATTAGTAGCTATATAAATATTTACTATGAGAAAACCCATAAACCAGGGGAAAATTTGCCAGCTACAAGTACAATTAAGTATGTATTATGAAATGAATGTACTATGCCCATATTTCATGTTGACTGATTAATCACAGCTGGTCAGGATAGCCATGGCTTAACTTCTCTTAGAGATCAAGGACAGTGCTAACTAAATCATGAACCTTCTCAGGGTGTAGAGATAGTTCTTTTCATAAATCAATGTGTTTTCTTCCTTGCTGCTCCTCCATCTATTCGTTATGCTTTATCATGTGACATCCAATCCTCCATTCTCTTCCTCCAAAGTAAGGCATCTGAGGAATAGAGGTTGATTCTAAATCCTAAAAAGAGGTGACTTTTTGATGTAGGAAGGAAGTTCTCTGGTATGAATTTCTTTGGAATGGCACACATTGTGTGACACATAAAGACAATAGCCAAAAATTAGGGATTACTTTACTTTCTGCTATTTTCAACTTTTGGTTATTCCCTGGAAGAGTATCAAAATGTTAATTCCCCCATGACTCTCATTTTGTGAATTTGAGTTTATACCCCTGAATCCAGAGTTACACTAGATCCTCACAGAAATCAGATGTGGCAGGACACCAGATAGTTAGATAACTAATGACTGTGAAAACCAGAATTTAGAAGAAAATAAATATTCCTCTAAAAGAAAAAAGGAAGAGGTTAATTGTATTGACATGATTGTATAGCGATAGACTTAGATTATTTGCCATAGTTTAAGTAGACAAATGTGTGTTGATGAACCAGTTGGCTTGCTATTCAGAATGAGTCCTATTTGAAATTGTTTTCATGGGTGAATCAGCTGTATTTGCATTTGGTGACTAACACAATTGAGACCAATTTGAAGGAGAAATTACCCTTTTGAGGTCACAAATTGAGTATTTGAAGCTCACCTATAGAAATTACAGCAAGTAGCGCTGCTTATATCTGTGTGGCCAGGAATCAGATAGAAGTGCAATGTGAAGAGGAACCTGGGTAAAACATAACCCCAAGGACATAATCCCAAACAGTCACTCCCTCCAGCTAGGTCCTAACTCTTACTTGTAACTGTATTCCTCCATAGATCACCATATTGTAGATAGACTGGGGAATAAAACATTTAGTTAGATCAACACTCAATATCTACTGAATGCTGGAGTTGTCTTCACAGACACACTCAAATATTTGCCTAACTAACTAATCTCCTAACTTTGCCTCAGTCCCATCAAGCTGACATGGTTAATCATCAGGCTTATTGAATCGTTGTCTAATATTTTATTTTATGTCTGTCTTCATAGAAGACTTTAAATATGAAATGCTTTCTAAAATTAAGATAATATGTTTATAAGGCCTATACCTAATAAAGACACTTAAACATTGTATTTGTTGACAGGTTTTAAAGGATTTATGCAAAGTGGTCATTATCACATACATTCACTGCTTGAGTCAGTTGCTTAACCATATCTACCAAAACACCATATCCTTAGTATTTTCCTGAAAATAAATTTTGTTTTCAATATAGCTTTACAGTTTTTGAAGTAAAATTACATATGATGATCTTCAAAGTTATATTTTAGTTAATATATTTTAAATTGTTGACATTTGTTTTGATTATTTTTCAAGAAGTTTTTAAACAATTAAATGACTTTAAGCTAGGATATTTGACATAGAACAAAATTATTGGATTGGATGAAATTTTATGTTGAAATGATTCATTCTTTAATTTTTTTAGCACTTTAGTACACCTTGGACAAATATTTTGCAAGAACAGGAAAGACTGGCATTGTCTCTATATTTCTTTCTTTCACCAAATTTGAGTAGAACATAATCATAAGACATGAAAATTTTTTGGCCTTTGTTGGAGAATATAATTACATCTAATTAAGTATCAGAACTCTATTAAAGCATCCTTCTGCTTAAATGAATTATATGAAGTAAAATTATTATATCAAAATTAAATTTTCAGTTCCAATTGTGTACTTTATTCAGTTGTTACCCTGTTGTTATAAAAATAAATTCAAGGTTCTTATGTTCAAAGTAAACTATCCAACCACATCCAACTAAAAGCATGAAAAGCTGAAGCTTAATTTAAGTGCCATTCATTAAGCATTAGGATATAAAATCTCAATTGATTTTGAAAAAATATCCAGCCATAATTCAACTCATTAATTGTAAATGTTTTCACACTAAAGTTAAGCTACTTGCATTGATATATAAAGTAAATCAAGGATACTGATATATCTCAAAATTCAAAGGGAAGATCAGAGTAAATATGCATTCCATCTTAAGCATACATTTATTTTACTCTATACCAGTTTCACCAAAACCATATATTGTGTATATCAGATTGTATTTTTGACATTGTATTTTGTAGATTGTGTAGAATGTTGGCATTTGGGTAGAGTTAAAATATAAAAATGTTGTACAAACAAGTATAAGGATGTATTTCTCTTTGGTAGGGGTACAAAGTGAGTAATGTCATTCTTCTATGATATAATAGTCTGATAATTATATTGTCACTATAGAAATAAGTAAAATCATTTTCAATATCTAACTTCTAGCAGAATATAAAGTAGCATTAAATAAAATGTGCAGCAATTGTTTTTCAGCAACAACAAAATATTATTACAAGAGTCTTTCTTGTTTCTATGATATGGATAAAATTTAACTGGCTTTCTATATGATGTCATCACATGATCACAACTCATTGTCTTTAAAATCAAACCTAAGAAGAAGCTGTGTTTTGACATAGGCACTGAATCATCTTCTTTTTATTTATTTAGTTTTTGGCTTTGTTTTTCATTTCCTGAGGCAGAGTTTATTTGTATAGCTCTGTCTGTCCTGGAACTCACTCTACAGACAAGGCTGTCTGCCTTTTTATGCCTCCAGACTGCTGGAATTAAAGATATGGGCCATCACTGCCTGGCTAAATCATTTTAAATTTAAATTTAAACTAGAAACAAGGTTGCTTCATATGTCACTTCCAGGTCTCTCTACATTTCCCTCTCCTCCTCCCATGCCCTCCGGCCAACCCCCCCCCCAAATATGCCCTCATTTTCCCAGGGAGGGTAAGGCCCTACATGGGGATGTCCATAGTCTGTCATTTCATCCAGGGCAGGGCCTAGAACCTCCCACAAAAATCCAGGGTTAGAGTGCATCTCTCATTGTTGGATGGGAGACCAAAGTCCATTTGTATACCCGTGATAAATACTGATCTACTACCCAAGGCTCAACAGATTACCTAGGCCTCTTCACATTCAGGCAGTCTTGATCAGTCCCATGCTGGATTCCTAGGCATCAGTCTGGGAATCAAGAGCTAACCCATGTCAGGTCAGCTGTTCCTGGGGCTTAAACCAGCCCAGTATTAATCCCTTATGACATCTAGCCTGCCTCTCTGTCACTGTATTTCTTGAGTTCAGCTCAGTGCTTAGCCGCGGGAGTCTGCCTCATCTTTCATCAGCCACTGAATGAAGGTTCTGTTTCCCAGACTCTCTAGCCATGGGATTGTAGGCTGGCACTCCCCAGATATAGGTCTAAAATCTATATATGAGAGAGTACATGCCATGTTTCTCTTTTTGTGATTGGGTACCTTACTCAGGACGGTTTCTTCTAGTGCCATCCATTTGCCTGCAATTTCAGGATTCCACTGTTTTTTTTTCTGCTGAATAATACTCCATTGTGTAAATGTACCAGATTTTCTCTATCAACTCTTTGGTTGAGGGGCATCTAGGTTGCTTCCAATTTCTGGCTATTACAAATAATGCTGCTATGAACATAGTGGAACAGACATCCATGTTGAATGAATGGGCATCTTTTGGATATATGCCTAAGAGTGGAGTTGCTTGGTCTTGTGGTAGGTTTGTTCCCATTTTTCTGAGGAATCACCATACTGATTTCCAAAGTGGCCATATAAGTTGGGGCTCCCACCAGCAGTGTAGGAGTGTTCCCCTTTCACCACA